AGTCTCTTAATTTTACGGGACGTATCTTCTTCCGTACTGGTCTCCGTCTTGTTGGCTTCTGCTTCATCTGGAACGTAAATTCGTTCCGACTTTAGCGACACAAGTCCTTACTTAATAAAACTGGTTTATTCTTTCGGAATATAACTTTACGATACACTTAATTTCAACAATCGCGCTAAAACAAATGCTATAACAACGAACGTGCTCAACTTCAATAATACTCGCTGACTGCAGATCAATTACTCACTGTCTACACACATATTATCCCGTCACATTGTCACCCTCTTATATATATCAGACTACCCTATATCTAGTAATCTCCCGAAGGTTCGAGAGAACGAGTCACGTGACCTCGCTGACGTAACAATACTATTAAAACGCAGATTGTTTGTGTGTGTGCTTGTCTGTAATCAAATACAGCAAAAACGGTGCACAATACCGCCATATTTGTAATGAAATGAGAATAGAAACAGAATAAAACAAGTTTCGTTAAAATCGGGCCACTTTTATAAAAATTTCTAGATGAATTTAGGTACACAAGATGGCGCAACATATCGATTTAGCTATCGATCTATTGGTTTTCCACCCGATGAATCAGTTTAAAATACCTTCTATGCAACAATATATATGCTCAACGGAAATTAAATGATGAGATGAAAATGTGTTATAACGGCGCGTAGAAAGAACAACAAGAAAATGGACCTACAATATTATTGACTATTCGCAAATAGAAACTATGTAGACGAGAATCCGGCATGGCCAGGTGGTTACGGCACTCGACTCGCAATCTGCGGGTTCGAAACCCCGTCACAGAAAACATGCTCGCCCTTTCAGCCGTGGGGGCGTTATAATGTTACGCTCAATCCTACTATTCGTTGGTAAAAGAGTAGCCCAAGAGTTGGCGGTGGGTGGTGATGAATAGCTGCCTTCCCTCTAGTCTTACACTGCTAAATTAGGGACGGCTAGCGCAGATAGCCCTCGTGTAGCTTTGCGCGAAATTCAAAAACAAACAATGTAGACGAGGTAATAAAATAAAAATGAAGTTGAGAGCAACAAAATTTTATAAACGAAACCTCTCGCTGAGCATTGGCTATTATATTATCTCCCCATCTTCATTAAAAAGGCGTAAGATGACAAAAACAGGATCTTGAAGAATTTATCTATATACTACTAAAACTCCGAGATTCTTTGTTTGCTTATTTTCTCAGTCAAAAAATCATTCACACTACCGTTCGCGCTCTTTACGAAACTTCTTACTTCACTTTTTTGAAAAATGAAATGGTCTTTCCTTTTACTCCTGATCAACAATCAAATATCTTTTCTTGAATTATGAATAACACGAATGGATTGAAATATTTAATTAAATTATCTCAAAATAAACCTTCATTTCGGTACAATATTAAAATTAGCTTGAAATCTTCATAACCTCTGAATAGGGGTTGACCCAACTAGTCACGGTGGTCTACTGTTTTATAAATGTTTATAATAATTTCCGGTGACCAACGTTTATTTTGCCCAGTGATAAGTCTTAAGTGGTTAATGCACTTGCTATATGAATCGTGAAGTTTTCTTAAGTGTACTGACCATGTACGTTTTCTATTGAATATTACACCACGAAATTTAGCACTAGGGTTTATTTTATCGTCTATATTGGCTAGTGTTTGCTTAACTTTCTTCCCCACTTTTTAAAATGTTTGTTCAGGCTGCAACGGAAACTTACACCTTGAGTTTTAAGCGGGTTTAAAGGGACCCACCGATCGTTACCCAATGATATAACATCAAAAATAGACCTAGAGAAAGCGAATCTCCTATCAGACTACAAATACAACAACACTATATGAAAAACTGACCTAGAGAAAACGAATCTTCTAGCGGTGTATTTTTAAGTAATATTAAACCGCATTTATTTTCTTCTTGATTAAATTACATGATAACATTGTGGACTGGGTCTTCTCGCACAACACCTAAAGTGAATCATGTAAACATTGTGGACTGGGTCTTCTCACACAACACCTAGAGTGAATCATGTAAACACTGTGGACTGGGTCTTCTCGCACAACACATAAAGTGAATCACGTAAACATTGTGGACTGGGTCTTTTCTCACACAACACCTAATAAAGTGAATCATGTAAACATTGTGGACTGGGTCTTCTCACACAACACCTAGAGTGAATCATGTAAACACTGTGGACTGGGTCTTCTCGCACAACACATAAAGTGAATCACGTAAACATTGTGGACTGGGTCTTCTCACACAACACCTAGAGTGAATCATGTAAACACTGTGGACTGGGTCTTCTCGCACAACACATAAAGTGAATCACGTAAACATTGTGGACTGGGTCT